AGCTTACACGAGAAACAGGGACCTTACATAGGAAAGGGCTGACTGTTCCCTTCATTATGTTCTGGCCCAGAGGGTCTGAATCAGAGAATCCTCAATGATCTCAGTTATTGCTCTTTCAGCTAGGTAGGTACTTACAAGGACTTGAGCTAAATGATTGATTTTACTCTCTTTAAGGCTTTGTACTGCGAAGTGTTCTTCACTTTCGGGTCATCATGCTTGCACAAAAGGTAAGAAAAGTGCTTCTACTCTAAAAATTATAGAAAGTAGGTAATTTAAGAATGAAATAGTTTTCCTTTTCTTAACCTTGCATTATGCATGGTTCTCCTAACAAGTGTCAGCTTGGGAGTTTGTTCTCCCAAATCTAGACAAAGCATCCAAAGATTTAAAGCTGATGTGTCAGAAAATGGGTAAATGGGTGGAGAGTAGTTTGCTTCCTCCACTCAGGGTGGGTAGCTGCTGCTGCAGCCCCTAAATACACTCATTCTTGATAATGTTTGCCATAGCAACCACATCAGATCTATGGGTAGTTATAGTCTGAAAAATACTCAATTGTTTTTCTATGTGGACAAATTCACTAGTTGGTATTTGCTTCAGACTGGAGATCTTTTTCTTCATTGTCTTTTTTTTTTATTTAAATTTTTTTATTCATTTTACATACCAACCACAAATTCCTCTCTCATCCTTCCTCCTGCTTCCCCTCAGCATCTCTGGCTGGCCCATCCCCCCATTCCCTCCTCCAAAAGAATAAGGCCTCCCATAGGGAGTCAGCAAAGCCTGGTACATTCAGTTGAAGCAGAACCAAGCCCCTCTGCCCTCTATCAAGAGTAAGCAAGGCATCCTGCCATAGGTAATGGGCTCCAAAAGCCAGCTCATGCACCAGGGATAGATCCTGATCCCACTGCCAGGGGCCCCTCAAACACACCGAGCTATACAACTGTCTCCTGTATGCAGAGGGCCTAGTCCAGTCCCACGCAGGCTCCACAGCTATCAGTCTAAAGTTAGTGAGTTCCCACAAGCTTGGTTCAGCTGTCTCTGTAGATTTCTCCATCATGATCTTGATTTCTCCAATATGGAAGGAGGAATGTGATGCCTTGTGCATGCTAGGCAAACTCTCAGTTTCTGAGCCACTTGCCAAGCCCTTTTCATTATCCTGTTTTAAACTTTTACAATTATCAATATGTATTATTCCAAACAAATCTTATAATCTCTATGTCTTCCCCTCCCTCCTCCAACCCTCCCTTCCCATCTACACCATTCATTTACTTTTTAGTACTAGGGATAGGACCACATGCCTCATGCACTCCAGGTAAGTTCTCTGTCCTGAGCTACAGCCAAGCTCCTATACTGGAAATTTCCCAAAGCTCTTGAAAAAATAGATTCTAACTCAAAGTAGCAGATGTAATGAAGAAATTTAGGCACTGTGGCAGATCCAAGGAATATATGTGTGGAGGCAATGTTCTCTGGGTAATCTTCAGAACTCTATCCAAATGCAGGTAACTGTATAGTGGATTACTAAGGAAATTTGCTAGAAGAAAAAATGCTAAGGTGCATACTTGGAAGATTCAAATTGTAACTAGCCTGTATGATCCCCCAAACCAACTGCTAGAAATCCTGAAGACAAAACATTCTTCCATCCTGGTATGTAGTAACATAATGTCAAGAATGTGAAACATAGAATTTTTTTTCCTTTTATTGAAAATAGACTTTCCCCCTTGAATAATATGTCCCGATTATGGTTTCTCCTCCCTCTACTCCTCCGAGTTACCTCCCACACTCCTCTCATCTGGATCTACTCCCTTCTTTCTCTCATTAGGAAACCAATAGGCTTCTAAGGGATAATTATAAAATACAGCATAGTAAGATAAAGTAAAAACTAACAGATTGGAATTGGACAAAACAAACAGAAGGAAAAGAGGCCAAGAGAAGGCATGAAAACAGAGGCCCACTTGTTCCCACACTCAGGAATCCCATAAAAACGTGAAACTGGAATCCTTAATGTATACACAGAGAATCTGGTGCAGACCTGTGCAGACCCTGAGCATGCTGCTTCAGTCTCTTGAGTTCACACGAGCTTTGCTCAGAAACACAGAGATTCTTTGGAGTAAACAATTTATCTCTAGATCTCCTTTTGAGATTTCAAGAAAACAGACATGATCCAGGGGAGCAGAACCAGGAAAAGTATGTGCAGGCAATGGTGTTGGGCTAGATTTAGACACTAAATAGAAACGACAAAACCAGTCTTCCAGCCACCGTGGTATTCCTTTAACAAACACTCCATCTACTCTGTTATATGCTTCGTTGTCTATATTTACTGCCTCGACCTCCCAAGCCAATTGTCTACATTTTTAAAATTAATTATTATATTTTATTTTAAATTAATTAAATTACATACTGCAGCAGACATGAAAGTACAGAGCTAGTAGCAGTGTCATCATGCACAGATGTTCTAGTGTTCTTAACTTTGAGAAGTTAATCCTGAAAGAAGTTGAAATTTCTATTCAAATATTCCCTAGGAACCCTTGGTGCTCGGATCCTTGCTATGGTCTGATGATTGATTGATGGGTTGATTAATTTGATTGACAGACTGGCTGAGGAAGGGCCAGACCATGTAATCCAAGATGTCTTAGACTGGAGCCGCTGTTTCTGCCTCCAGAGCCCTGGGATTATGGGGATGTCGCCACCATGTCTAAGTGCTTATTCCTTTTGTTATGTGTGTAAGTGTTTGCATGCATGTATGTGTGCATCACACATATGCCTGGTGCCCAATAAGGCTAGAAGAGGGCATCAGATTCCCTGGAACAGACTCTTTTGAGCAGCCACGGCAGTGTTGGGAACCGAACCCAGATCCTTTTGAAGAACACCAAGTACTCTGCAATAGTTTGAATGTATTTGGCGCCCATAAACTTATAGGGAGTGGCGCTATTAGGAGGTGTGTTCTTATTGGAGAAAGCATGGTCTTGCTGGAGGAGGCTACATGACACACACACCTTTAATCCAGACCTTGAGGCTGGAGGGCACACCTTAAATCTAGACCACACCTTCTGTTGGAAGTGTGTCACTGTAGGAGTGGGCTTTGAGGTCCTTTTCTCAAGTTTCACTCAGTGTGGCAGTCAGTCGACTTCCTGTTGCCTGCAAGATCTAGGACACTTGGCTATTTCTCCAGCACCATGCTTGCGTGCATGCCACCATGCTCCCTGCCATGAGAGACTGAACCTCTGAACTGTAAGCGAGCCCCCTCGATTAAATGCTTTGCTTATGAGTTGCCGTGGTCGTGGTGTCTCTTCACAGCAATAGTAAACTGTAACTAAGACATACTCTTAACCACTGAGTCATCTCCACAGCTCCCCAAGTACTTATTCTTATTGACTGCCCCTTGTTTGCTTAGTGCCACTACTCCCATACCTCTTCACAATGTCTACCTAGAAACACCATCAAATAACTCCCCAGGTCTACTGAGGTTGTGCTTTGATGGAAAGCAAACTCATGTCTACTTATATCACAAAGTCTAACACATTTAGGAAGCAAATAACAACTTTCTATTCAGCTTTAATCATTTCCAGGCAAAGAAGCATCAGCCCTTCAATACAGCTGACAGGTTCAATCACCATATTGAAGTACTTTTCTGTTGGTGGTATTTTCTTTCATTTCCATAAATGGGACTCTAGAAAGAATAAGAATCCTTTAACTAGGTACCAACTTAATCAGACAAGTTGGAGCTTTCCAACATCTCTTTAATTAAACCCAAGAACAGACTTGCTTAGTGATTATTGTGGGGGACTGGAGAAAAAGCAGGAAAGAAACTGTTGATTTCAAGGGGAGGAAACCATGTTGCTTCTTATGAGTAGTTATAGGACTTTTTCTTTATGATTTTCCAAAGGAAAGAGCAAGGCATGCTGGGAAGGTGACTGCTGCTGTAACTTATTTTAGCAATCCTGTAAATAAGGAAACAAAGGGCATAGAACAGCATGGAAGCCACCAAGACCCCAGGAATCTTTCTCAGTCTGGTTGCAAAATATGGTGTTTGTGCATAAAGGCTTACAGATACACTATTATTATATTTCTCTATTTGCTAAAACACACATTATAAACACAATTACACTGAGATTTGAAATACAAATTATAGCTATTTTAAACACAAATTTATTATGAAACCTGCTTTTCTTTGTTATTGGTGTAATTTGTGGTAAAATTCCAATCAACATTTTAAAAATAAGTTCTTTCAAGATTAATGATACATTGGCCATTAATATTTTTTCAACAATGGCCTGGAGATGTAGCTTATTGGTAGATTGCTTGCCTAGCATATACTAGATCCTGGGTTCCATCTCCATACTCCATGAATGAATGAATTAAGAAAATAATTAATCAAACAATAAAACTAGTTAAAATTAATTCTTCATTCAATGGAATTCTAAAAGTAATGCATTATGTGCAATTGAGAAAATATTAAAATTAACAAGAAAGATAAATTGTATAAAAAAGCTTTTGTAAAGATTTTATTTCATTCACAATGTACAATTTTTGAAAAACATTTAGAAGCACAATTATCATCAGCTATATTACAAACAACAAAATGATGAAAACCTTTGGGGCCATTTAGTGAAATATGCAGTTTGAAGCAAATAAAATTGGAGTTCAATGGATCTTACTAACTGAATGTCAGCAATATTGAAAGTTTCTTGCTTTTGCTATTGAAGTATGATGAAATCCTAAACATTGGACACATGATAAGGGGTTGTGACTCAGACAAATTTGCTCCAGTAGGGAAATGTGGACTTCAGGAAGAGGAAGTTGTTCTGAGGCTGCCTTTATGAACTTAATATCTGAGAGGCCCTCACACCTGCTACTAGAGCACAGAAGGATGTATGCTCTTAAGATTGTGATTTTCAGGTCTCATGGAGGGTGAACTAGGGACTTTAGGCTTGCTACCTCCATGCTAATGTGCCCTCTCCTCTGTCACCTGTGCTTAGGGACTCGATCTTTAAAACATGCTCCCGGCAATTTTCCAATAGGATGCTTCCAGAAAGAGTGATTTCTTCCTCCTCAGTGATTTCACCAATTGTTTCCTATTCAAATTTTTAGAACTTACCAAATTTGATTGTTACCATCGAGTTCTGTGCCTGGCTTGTTCAGGAGGCTGGATTTCTACTAGGTAGGTACTGTGTGTCACTTCTTTTTATATCTTCTGAACTCAGCTTAGATCAGGTAAGGACACATCTAACATTCATTATTCAACAAAAATCAAACCTTCCTTTTGCCCTTTGATCATTGGAATCACAGATGCGTTCAGGTGTAGCAGAGAAAAAAAAAATTCCCACTATGTAGAGCCTGGAAGACAGAGACATGGGAGCTAAGGAAAATCAGTGAGTAGGAACAAAGCTGCGAAGCTTTACTTGTATTTGATCTTTCCCTACAGGAATGCCAATGAGAGGACTGGGAGCCAGACAAGGGGCATGACAGGCTCCTAGTAGCCCGGCCAGGGAGCAGGCCTTAGTTTTGGTTTTACTGGAGCTGGCTAGAGCTGAATAACCATTTCAGGGGAGTGGGGGTAGAAGGGGGACCCACAATTCAGGGGCAACCAATGAGCAGGTGCCCCACAGCCTTCTACTAGCTGAAGAAAGCTTTTCCTATCCTGCCGCTGGAAAGTCCCTAACCACTAGAGCCACCTCTCAATCCTGTAACAACCCATAAACTTTTTGTTTAAACCCACCAATCATCCCCTAGACTAATCTCTCCTCCCTAGAATTCCCCTAGCCCTGCTTAAAAGGAGCCTGTGAGCTTCTCTCAAGGATGCCATTTGTCACTTTGTCAGATGGTTAGACCCTAACATCTTGGTCATTTTTAATAAATGTTCTTGTTGATCGCATACATGACTGGTGGTCTTTTATGAGACTTCTCTGGGACTCTAATACCAAAAGGCTATGGCTTTTGATTTTCAGAGAAAGCTGTGGCACAGTTATTTGGGTTTAGTTGGTTGGTGTTGTTGTTTTCATTATTGTTTTCTTTCTTGATTGTCACTTTGACCCAAATACCCAAGAAACCACTTTAGAAAGAAGAAGAGTTCATTTTAGCACACAGTTTAATCAGTTTCACTCTACAGTCCTATGCTGCACTGAATCTTGGCCCAGGCAGATCACCATGGTCACAGGAGTGTGTATTCATGTGTGTGCGTATATGCCTGATGGAAGATACTGTTCATGTCGGGTACACAGAAAGCAGATCAAGAACCAGAAAAAAGGTAAAACTTCCCAAGACCAGCCTTTAGTGACCTTCTTCTTCCACTGAGCCCACCACTTGCAGTTTCCACACCCTCCTAAAATGGTACCATGAGCTGGGTACTAAAGGGTCAGCACATGAAGCTGTGGGAGACATTTCATAATCAAACTATAACTTTAATTCTCATGATTAATTTATCACTGCCTTCTGTTTGTACAGTTACCTGTATAAATGATTACAGAACACTTGCTAAACTGTAAAAACAAAAATGAAACAATATTTAAAATGCTTTTTCTATGCCAGGCACTCTGCTGGGGTCATTTTATTTCTCACTAAATTAATTAGCTTATTAATTATCTGGAAGCTAGGATTTGCTCTTGATTTTGGTTTGTTCTCTCCAGACTGTCCTGAAAGTTCCAGACTCATCAACCCCTCCCTGCCTCAGCCTCTTGAGTTTAGCAATAGAAGGTTATCTGTCCTCAACCAGCTTGTTTCTGTGCCCAGGCCTCTGAGAACTAGCTTTGCCTAGGCTGAATTAGCTGTTCATTAACAGAGCTAGTAGATAAACCAAACATTTCCTCATGTGTCATCTATGCATTTTCTCCTACTTGGATTGCCACATAATGCCCAATGAGTAAAATATACCTTTGTAAAGGATAAGTGTTTTTACATTGTTGAATAACTAAAAATGCCTTAAATTGTCTTGTTCGGTAAATAAATTCATTTTGTGGTGTTTTATTTATTTGACTTTGATTTTCAACTTTGTTAAATTGCATGCATATGAATCTGACACAGATGGTGGTTTCTCTAGTGTCTGCAGGAATTAATACATTTGTGCAAGCATACGTCTCAGCACTTTCATATTTTCTTCAACATCTGTTACTGAGAACAACCAAATGCAGAGAAATCTACCTAAGCTGATATGATAAAATATGATGGCACACAAGGATTCTAGGTCTCATACTTTAATAAATTAAATGATTAGGATTATCTACATACTTTATCCATTTTATACATTCTAGATATTTTAAATACAGGCTATGTTTTAGAATCCTACCAGTAAGATAATAGTGAGGATTATTTAAAATAATATACTAGAACAATGCCTGGAGATATAGCTCATTAGTAGTGTGCTTGTCTAGCATGTGTGAGATCCAGTCCAAACATGACAAATAAAACCATACAACAAATACAGATACTTGTAACTGCTGATTTATATTGGGTACAAGACTACTTAGGTTTTTACTACAAGATTTTCTTCACTCTTCATATCAAATATGATGACCCTGTTGCAAGCAGGTTTGGAAAATGCAGGATCGAGGTGATAAGTAGACACAGATTCTTTCAGGAAGCTAGAGCCAGCAGAAAGAGGAAAATAACAATGAAAGCCTAAAACAAGTTGAAAGTAAGGTGACAGATTAAGTTGTGGCTATAGGAAAACTAAAACAGAGCTTGGAGACAGGGATTTGCAGAAAGCAAAGGTGAGGAGAAGAGGCCCTTGTGTGAAGGAAGTTCAGATGCCAAGAGTTACTTGACACAGATCTGTGTGAATGTGAGACCAGACTGAGCATGTTCACTTCCATTGACAGAACTTTATTTCCAAAGAAAATCTATGCAATAAAATTGATTATCCAATATATTCAAATTTATAACTCTTATTAATGCGCTGTTGGAGCCATGGAGCCCCACCCACTGCTGCATGTACCTCAGTACTGGCATTTTTGAGCTTTGCTCATACACAGCTACAAGGTCAACAGCAACTCAACAGAGTCATTTTATGTATTCTCATTAGTTGTGAAAGGTTTTTCATCAGGACACATTGATGAATTCCACACTCTTCTTAGTATAAGCGATCACATGAATATTTTTTCCCATTTCTATCTCCTTTGTCTCACTTACAGAAATACTGGGTGATGGCAGAAAGATGAACTCAAGTCCATGCCTTCTCTGTAACTAACCAGAGCCAGAGCTCTCATACTGAGCATCTTCAGAGGTGGAAGGTCAGGGTAAGACTCCTTATTAGTTCTGACCTGCTACAATTGAACATCATAGAGCTAACAAGTAAAAAACAGCTAAAATCCTGATACCAAATAATACAAAAAAAACTTGATGCTCAATGTGAATAAATAAACTACTTTTAAGATTTCATCTTTAATCCTTTTATGCTAATTTCATGAAAGTTTAAAACATGGAGGAATAACAAAGATGCAGCATATAGCTCTTTTGCTTAAGCTTCACTCAGTATCACGGTCTACTTGCTATTGCCTTATGATTAAGATGTAACCAGCACTATGTCTGCCTGAACACCAACATGCTCCCGCCATGATGATAATGGACTAAACTTCTGAAACTACCTTGAAAGAACAATACTCAACTTCAAATGGAAAAACAAAAATTCCAAGATAGCTAAAACAATCTTGTACAATAAAAGAACTTCTGGAGGTTTCACTACCACTGATTTAAAGCTGTACTACAGAACTATGGTAACAGAACCACATGGTATTGGCATAAAAAGAGATAGGTGGATGAAAGGAATCAAATCAAGAAATCAGACATAATTCCACACACCTACAGACCACTTGGTTTTTGATAAAGAAGCCAAAATTATACAATGGAAAAAAGCATCTTCAGCAAACAGTGATGCTCTAACTGGATGTCAGCATGTAGAAGTATGCAAATGAATCTAGTCTATCACCCTACACAAAACTCAAGTCTAAGAGGATCAAATAAATCAGATACACTGATTCTTATAGAAGAGAAAATAGAAAATAATCTCTAACACAATGGCACAGGAGACAACTTCCTGAACAGAACACCAATAGCACAGGCACTAAGATAGACAATTAATAAATGGGACCTCATAAAGTTGAAAAGTTTCTATAAGGAAAAAAAAAACACTACTAATAGGACAAAACAGTAGCTTACAGAATGGGATAAGATCTTCACCAACACCACATCTGACAGGGGACTGATTTCCAAAATATATAAAGAACTCAAGAAACTAGATACCAACAAACCAAATAATCCAATTAAAAATGATGTACAGATCTAAACAGAGAATTCTCAACAGAGGAATATCAAATGGCCCAGAAACACTTAAGAAGATGTTCAACATCCTTAGCCATCAGGAAAATTCAAATCAAACTGACTCTGAGATTCCATCTTACACTCATCATAATGACTAAGATAAAAAACACAGTGGCATCTAGTACTAGAGAGGATGTGGAGCAAGGGGAACACTCCTCCTTTTCTGGTGGGAATGCAAACTTGTACAGCCACATTGGAAGTCAGTGTGGTGATTCTCGGAAAACTGGCAAACAATCTACCACAGACCCAGTAATAGCACTCCTTGGCATATACCCAAATGGTGCTTAATCATACCACAAGGACACTTGCTCAACCATGTTCATAGAAGCTTTATTTGTAATAGCCAGAACATGAAAACAACCTAGATGTCCCTCAACCAACCAAGGAATGGATAAATAAAATGTGGTACATTTACACAATGGAGCATTACACAGTTGTTAAAAACAAGGATGCCAGGAAAGTTGAAGGCAAATGGATGCAACTAGAAAAAAATTATCTCAAGTGAGGTAACCCAGACAAAGAAAGACAAACATGTATGTACTCACTCATAAATGGATATCAGCTATAAAATAAAGGATAGCTATGCTATAATCCACAGACCCAGAGAGAATAGGAGAAAAGGAAAGTTCATGGGGGTGGGGGAGATGCCAGATCTCCCTGGGAAGGGGAAATTGAATAAATTTTAGTGGGTGGACTGAGGGCTGGTGGTGATGGGAACAGAAGCAATCAGATTCAGGGACAGAGGGGTAGAGTACTGAAAGAGACTACTGGAAAGGGGGGATGCATTTTGGGGCCAGGTAAAAATCTGTAGCAAGGGAATCTTCCAGGAAATTACAAGGATGACTACAGCTAATACTCCTAGCAATAACAGATATGTAGCCTGAACTGGCCAATTCCTGTGACCAGATTGGTGCCTAGCCCAATTGTCATCAGAGAGGCTTCATCCAGCTACTGATGGAAATAGATGCAGACCCACAACCAAACACTAAGCCGAGTTTGGTGAATCCTGCAGAAGAGGGGAAGAAAAGATTGTAGAAGCCAGAGGGGTAAAAGACACCACAAGAAAACTCACAGAATCAACTAACCTGGGCTCAAAGGAGCTCTCAGAGACTGAACCGACAACCAGGAAGCCTACATGGGTGTGAGCTGGACATTATGCAAATATGTTACAGTTGTGGCTTGGTCCTCTTGTGGGACTCCTAACAGTGGGACCAGGAGCTGTCTGACTCTTTTGCTGGCTCTTGGGACCCTACTCCTCATACTTTACTAATCACCTTGCCCAACCTCAGTACATGGGGAGGTGCTTAGTCTTATTGAGACTTGATATGTCATTTTTTATTGATACTCATGGGAGACCTGCCCTTTCCTAATCAGAAACAGAGGAGTGAATTGGGGGGTGGGGTGGAGAGGCTGGGAGGAGAGGAGGAAAGGGAAACTGTGGAGGAGATGTAAAATGAGTAAATAAATGAATTTATTTATTTAAAAAATATGCAGTGTATGAATATTTTCAAAGTGTTTATTTTACTTCAAGTATTAAAGTACATTATAGTACGAATCTGTTTT